GTAATGGCAAATCTACCCTCCACTTCATTCCAGGCGACGATAAAAACAAATTTATGCTTCTCCTTCTCTTCAAACGCATTCGGGCGGACGGCTACCCACCCCGACTCCAAATTATCCTCCATTGTGAAGGACATTTCTGCAAAGTGATGAAAACAAAAACAATAACGCTGCTCGCAACCGACGCTGGCACTGTTTTAGAGTCGGACGCAGGGTAGTACAACGGTGTGTTAATACAGGCTACTTTGTTTAAAACAGCGTATACCAAACACTGTTTTTCTCTCGGAGGATATTTTGCCTGAGGGGCTATATCCTCCTTCGCTCGAGCGGATGGATTTGGAGCAGCGCGGTGTCATTTCCCATCTCTGGCCCACCTGCTTTAACTCTGGATGTCTGGCTTCCTATCCCAGCCTCCTGCAACAGTTAGCGTTGACATTAGTCTTCACACAACACTGGACTCTGACACACAACATGCGACAGTGTGTTTACCAGGTCCGGCGGTCGATCCGCCCGTCAGCTGTGTTCCGTTATTCTCGGCTCCAGACCTCCCTTCTCATCATAAAGTACCAGCGAGATCCAAAACCAGTGTGCATCGTTCAAACACAGCACACTGGGGCCGTGAATACGTGAGACAAGCGGTTTTGCCCACTGTCTTCAGAAAGGTCTCCCATCGCCTCCAAACTCATAACATTGCCATGTTTTCTTCATCGTTTGCCCAACAAGACCACATACGCAAAATAACGATGCTAGCTTCAAGTGCTGGCAGAACTATCGGAATTTCCAGTAAGCAAAGTAGGCTATTAGTGTGACTCTTTTTATAACTTTTTTTTTTACCAGACATTAAAATTGTAGCCATCGGCATAATTCGTTTAGTGAGCCGTGTTATTGCAGGTCAAAAGTGTTGCGAAATACTGAGAAAAGCAGATCGCGGTTATTCTTAGGTAAAATCGGTAAAAACACAAGTCCGAGGAGCATTTGAAGGCAACACCAGAATCTCAATTTGAGTAGGGCACGTAAGGACGTGCTGACGTACAGGTTGAGCAGAGTGGGATGGTTTGCAGAGTAGCTGCAGCATTGAGATCAATAATTATATAATATATATTATTATTTTATTAATTAAATGCATAAACAAATACATAATCAATACATACAGCAACAAAAGTAGTTTGTGAATGATTGGTTTTAAATAAGGACTCAAGTGACATATGATCACTATGATGTGATGGCACTATATCATACAAAACTTATTCTGCTGCCATAAAGCTCTGAAATCATGGAGTGTAAAACGATTTTACTGGTCATTTTAGACATTAATGCAGACTTGGTGTAGCCTAATCCAAAGACAATTGTTTAAAAAACTATAAATAAATAATCTAATCCTGGAATAAATATGAGAAAAATGCAGTACAAATGTGCCATTTAAACTTTAACATAGCCACAGAAAGATGTCTCAAAACACATCTGGTTGAGTTGCTGTGGGAGAGAGCTGCTGGGTTTGCATTGTTTACACATTTGGGCTGGACTGTTTCAGAGGCCAGAATGGAAAATAGTATTCCCCTTTAATGGTCACAGACTTGAGACAAATGAAAGTCAATCCCTCGCCAGGGGTGCATCACTCCTAATGATGCTGAGGGAAATGTTTGGTTTCCAACAGAGTTTGCTTCTGTTTTAATGAGCCTCATTACACAATAGAGGCGTACCTCGTAAATTCAATATATATATAGATTTTTTTTTACAAACTCACTCAAACAGTCTATATTGATATCTTTCTGATATATGATCATCTGGCTATGAATATTAAGGAGCAAAGACAAGGATTTCAAGATGGGTTGCAACAGTGGTAAAGAGCAAAAACAAGTAACACACCCAAAACCTAAAGCCTGAAGATCATTTACTAAGTTGAATGAGCATGAATGAGCACCAACCAAATGTGGTAAAATATGCAAGGGGTTGATCTGCTTTACTCACAGCCATAAACAATGGTAGAGTGGCTGGTAAAACCTGAACACTTGGCTGGTGGGCAAAAAAAGGGAATTTATGCAAAAAGTTTAAATAAATGTGTCTGCTGAGTTTCCTTGGTCTTCATCAGTAACTGATAATAGGTTCAAATATTCAGACCTCTCCTTAAGTAGTGTGATAGGTGGGAAAAAGGATTGCATGATTGGGTTTGTGGAGATGTCTCGTTGGTTCCATGGTGTAATGGTTAGCACTCTGGACTTTGAATCCAGCGATCCGAGTTCAAATCTCGGTGGAACCTCGTGGTTTTTAATCGTTACTGATTGTAAATTAAATCAACATCTCAATTGAACTCAAATGTAGTAAGAGAGGAAGGAGTAAAAACCGCACAAAGTGCTTTGAGAATGTAATCTAATGTAAGTAACTTAAAACTCTGTACACTGTGTTTAAATACATCAAATTATCACTGTTATCATAAAGAATTAAGTACAAGCATAAACAAAGGAATAAATAATGCTGATCGTATATGATGATGATGAATACAGCTCTTTAGCTTTTGTCTACATTTCCTTTTTAAGTCTTTGATGTCTATCTGCATAATCCGCTTAATCTGCACCCCTATTAGCGCAGTTTTCAGGTCAACAGGAGTGTGCATGATTTTTTAAATTGTTTTATGTTTTTCCTGCCTGGTGAGAAACAAACTGTAAATTCGATCTGATTTAATCCTCATCCTCATCCTGCTGGATGTAGTCTATTGACAGTAGGCTATGATAATGGTGAAGTAGCCATTACAAATAATTATGAAAATAAAATATAAAGTCTCTCGTCTGCAAAGTATATATCTTTCTAGTTCTAGTCGTTATTCCTTTTTGGGGTATTGCACGTTAACAGGTCACCTGCATAAAAACTAACTCAGTCATACCTTTGTGTTATTCAGAGATTCAGAAATGATAACGCTGAAAGCCTCGGTTCAGTTTTCACTTCCAACAGCTGTGTTGTGAGTGCAGTGACATGTGCGGTTCTATGGTGTAATGGTTAGCACTCTGGACTCTGAATCCAGCGATCCGAGTTCAAATCTCGGTAGGACCTGCAAGTTTTGCCACTACTTCGTCCTCATTTCTGGCAAAGCCTCTCAGGGATTCCTTGTGCTGATATATTTGTGAGCGACTTAACGTGCTGCAGTAAAAATAAAAACTAAAGTGTGCACAGTACAGAGACAGGAAGGAAGAGATTTGGCTCAGTCAAATACATCTGAGCAGTAAAGAGGTGATTTGAGGCAATAGCAAACACAGCTGACTGTCAGCTCTGACCTATTACCATACTAATGTAGTGGGTCAACGCTGTTGATAGTTTCTTGTTTTGTAAGAGAAAAGTGAAAGTTAGAGTTTGAAGGTTTTCTAGTCTAGAATCTAAATACTACTCCACAGGTCAGAAAGGTTGTCTAATGTAGTGCAAGGTGTAAGGTGTAAGCTTATCCGGCGATCCGAGTTCAAGTTTCAATGGGACCTGCAGAACAACTGAAAATCTTTGGGTTTTGGACAACACAAGGCTTTGGAGGTCGTTGAGAAAGAACATTTTTCCCATTTTTTATTTTTGTTTTTACATTTTATGGACCCGACAACTAATCAATTACCAATCAATTAATACAGCGGAAAGAAGGAAGGAGCAAATGAGAAGAAAGTGTTAAACAGTAATTAGGACTAAAATGTTGTGGGAAACGTCTACATGTTTACATAATTGTGTCTTATATTACCTTACTATGGCCATAACCTTTCTCCACTTAACCTGACTTCTACACTGCTTATGTAAGTTGTTATTACCTTACTATGGCCATAACCTTTCTCCACTTAACCTGACTTCTACACTGATTATATAAGTTGTTATTACCTTACTATGGGCCATAACCATTCTCCTCTTAACCTGACTTCTATATTGATTATATGAGCTGTTATTACCTTACTATGGGCCATAACCGTTCTCCATACCTAACCTTTATCCTGATTCAAGTTAATAAGTGTCACCCACAGTAGAAAGGACAGGTAATCTGAAAAATAACCTGTAACAATAGCTGTCTGACAAATGTAGTGGAGTAAAAACAATATCTCCCTCTGAGATGTAGTAGAGTAGAAGTACAAAGTTGCATAACATAATCTAATAATAACAAAAGTACCTTGAATTTGTACAGTAATTGAGTACTATTTGTCACATCCTACCACTGGTGACACACTGATAATGGCGACACATGAAAACTGTTGAGCCGTGTGTGGCACAGTGTAAAAGATTTTTCCTCCGTTCTTTCACATTAGTTAAAATTTCACTCATGCATGCAGTATATATATACACACACACACACACACATTGAAGAATTATTAACATATTGTACTCAACCATATAGTTAATTAAAAAGTAGACGATCACATCAGGAAAGAACTACTTTCCCACAGTGGGTCAGTCTTTATGGCCACATCTTTCAAACTGTGTGCACAGAGCAATCCTGTCTGACCACCAGATCAATGGGAGAGTTAGGGTCAGGACAACAACCTACTGGTCAGACTTATTGCCATTTCTCAAAATAAAGCATTGCTTGTTATCAACATCAAATGAACATCCTTTTATTAAATGTCCTTTGTAGCATGTGGGGTTCCATAGTTTCTCACCTGATAGAGTGCATGCACAATGTATTCAAGTTGTGTCTTTACAGTAGCTCCCCAGTTTCAGTTCAAACCTGGGCCCTGTGCTGCTTGTCATTACTCTCTTTCTTCCCCCTTTCCTGTTTCTCTTAAGCTGTTCCTATCCAATTAAGGCAAAAAGCCTCCAACAATGTCAATAAAAAGTTAGCAGCACATTTTAGCAACTTAACAACAAATTAATAAATAAACTATTTAGCAGCAGATTACAATAATCAATCAACAAATATAAGTCTATGAAAATGATTTACAACTAAAAAGTGTTTTAACTAGAAAAACTCCAACTGTGTTTGTTTGTTTGTTTTTACAATTGGTTATTAGGTTTATAGTCTGCCAAATAATACTGTAAAAATAAATGGATTGAATTCTTGAGTTTTTATTATCATTCTTGATATGAAAAAGTCAGACATATAAAGAATACAAAAAACTGTATAGTGTAAACATGAGATTATGTTGGTATGTTAGATTTCAGCTGTTTTTCATAATCATCTTCTGGTGTGGCCATGGATGGGCATTTCGGACGTCCAGAAGCAGGCAAAAGGTTTTCCCAGTACTCTCGACGAGCCCTAAGACAAAATTTGGTAGTTTAGTTGGTTGTAAATCAACGCTTCTGCAGAGCCTAATCTGAAGAGGGCAGGAACTGGTCCTGCTCAGTCTTACCTGGCTCTGACCCAGGGTTTAGTGTGCATCTCTAGAGCAGCTCCCCAGAGTCCATGCTTCTCTGAAGCTGGTGGGAGGAATCCTCTCTCTGCAGCCAGCTCCTCTGCTATAGCTCTGATATGGTAGGGCTCAAATCCACAGCAGCCACCAATGTAGCGAATTCCAGCATTGTAAGCCTCTCTGGCGTATTTATGGATGTCCCAGCGGGTAATTGCTCTGGTCTCCAGTGCTGAGAGGGGAGATTAATATTTAAGTCTGGGCATTAGGTTATGTTGATTTTGTTGTTGTAATCATCAAACTGCACATATGATGAGTTAAAAAAGGTAGAAATACATGAACTCTACACTCACATGTTTAGACTTACATTAAGTATACAAAATGCAAACCAAAACTATTTTTCAACATATTTAATTTTTTCTTCATCCTACAGAAAAAGAAGAAGCTGACCGAAGGGGAACTCAGGTAGGCTGAGGTATCCAGTGTGGTTGCACTCAGGTGTGTGAAAGCCCAGTGGCTGGATCATGAGATGGGCTTTGAGACCAGCTTTTTCCAATCCCTCTTTCATCAACTTCACTGTACGAACGCACGTCAGAGGGTCCAAGTGGCAGTTTATTCCAACAATGTCCGCTCCTGCACATCACATACACATATGAAACAAATTCAGGTTTCACAGCTAGAACATGATGTCAGACTTGCTAACTTTAAGTATCACATCAGAGGAGGTCAGTGTACCAGCTTTGACGAGTCTGACAGCACACTCTCCAGGTGGGACTCCGTGCATGTCTCCGTAAGGGGAGATACACAATGTTGCACCCACTGGTTTACCGCTGGTCTTCAACACCTCCACTGCCCAGCCTGCCTCTTCCACATGTTCAAAGTACTGTAGAAAAAATATGCATGCAAACATTAAAGCAGTCAATGTGCTACGTGGTTTTAGTTAAGGTCTGTTCTCCACCAATGGGAAAAATATCTGGCTTTGTTACATGCTCCACCATTTTTCCCAAGCTAGTTGCTAACTTCGTGGGTCTATTTTGTGTTGGGCAGGAAGTATAAAGTGGGTTTATCAGAGTTTATTAGAAACAAAACTGTCATTCAATGTTGAGATCAAAAATAATGATTAATGCAGGTTTAAGCACATTGCAATCGATTGCACACACCTATCCCTCTAGCTAGTCCTACCTCTGCTATAAAGAAATCAATGTCCTTCTTGAGGAAATCCTCCATCTGTTTCTTAAAGATGGCTTTCACCTCAGCCTCACTGTGACTCTTCACATAGCAGGGAGTCTGAGACACACCTCCAGCAACCAATGCATCACCCTCTTTGGCTACGTCCCTGGCCAGGTCACAGGCTGCCTCATTGATCTGGGCCCCCTGGATCAGACAAGAGCAGATTGGACTGATACCAGACTGATGTCAGCATTGTTGTCATCATGTAATGTAAACAGAATAAATGTGTCATCAGATTTTTTAATATGACTACAAAGGTTTTGTACTGACGGTGATGTCAGTGACATTTCCACTCATCTCCAGCTTATCCTCACTACAGTAGAAGGTGAATGTCTGAAGCACATTAGATCCTGCTCTCAGGAACTCTCTGTGCAGCTGCCGCACTGACAGAGACACAGAAAGAGAGAGAAAGACAAGAGAGGAGTGGTTTATTTGAAATACTCAGGCAGACAGATTCTGCACAAATAAATAGGGCTAAAAATGTGAGTTGACTAGACTTTTGGCCCAGGCCCCCTAACCAGTTCATCCAACCATGGACAGGTTTATACCTGCTTCAGGGTGTTCAACAGCTGCTTCAGGTGTCCAGTGTCCACCCTTCACATAACCTCGTCGCTCTAGTTGAATCACATAACCTCCATCTCCTACAATGACCTCCCCAGCATTTAGTCGCTCCAAGATACCCTGAAAGTACACACACACACACACACACACACACACACACACACACACACACACACACACACACACACACACGTGGCTATTTAGTGTACTCATTAAAAGCATGCACCCACTATTATGTTTGGCAAATGTCCCCTGAAATGCAGAGATGAGTTTAAGAACATGCAACTCAGGTATGATGGCCTCAAACAGGCATGTCATAATAAACTCACATGTCATTTTAAACGAAATAAGGTTTCCACGTCTCCTGGAAATGGTTCGAGTCTCTTATAGTGCCGTACACAGTTTGTAATACTCAAAAAAATACTGCATTCAGATTTACAACACATAATCAATAAGTAAGCCAACATGTTAAACAGTTGTCAACATGGTCACATTACTGATTCTTCCTTACTGCTTGCCAGCCTATTTAATGATATTCTGTATAGTCAGCAGAGAAGGAACAACTCAGATTTTTCACTTGCGTAAAAATAGAAATACCACTGTGTACTCTGTTACAAGTAAAATGCCTACATACATACAAAATCATGTATAATCATGCTAGCTACAATGTGGGTAACCCTTGGTCAATGTTGTTTGTAATTTATTTTTATGAGTTGAGTCTGGAACACCCACAAGGTCTCCATCTTATCAACAACAAAGCCTCCAAACATAAAGTATGCCAAGTGTGAATAACTCTGAAGAGGCCTCTCGGGTTAACTACTACTATGTCAATGCACAAATGAAACATAGCATTTGCATAATGGTACAGCTGGTAAAAGTGTGGCTAACTGCTTTGTATACTGCTGGGTAGTTCAGTCTATAACACATACTATATTAGTTGATTTATGTCTGTACTATTAATCTGAATCTTCAAAGTAACTAGTAACTAAAGCTGTCAAATAAATGTAGTGAAGCAAAAAGTAAAATATTGTTGGAAGACCCTTCAAAAGTGTAGAGAAGAATTATAAAGTAGCACAATACTATAGGAAAAACTCAAGTACAAGTACCACAAAACTGTATTCAAGTACAGTACTTGAGTAAATGTGCTTAGTTACTTTCCACCACTGTAAATAGTTAATATGATGCAACATTTTCCCCTGCTAATCTCCCCTGGTAAATAATTCCAGGCATGGACCTGTTCCAGGGCTCAGGAAATGTGCTATTTCCGTAATCATCCAAATCATCTACATCTGAATATTAATGATAAAACTGTAAAAGCAGTGTGATGAACATCCTCAGCTCACAGTCCCTTTTAACATTTTAAATTAACATTTTGCAGGAAATTTCTCTTTGCAAATGCAGTGTTTAAGCTTTTAATTTGCTCTGGTGTTTTGACCCGTTCAGTCAACAATGTTCACAAACTACATGAGAGATAAGACTACCTGCTCGGGTCTAAACAAGAGATAGCTTTTTATATTTCTTTGACTTACCTTCCTCTTGCTCTCCATCGTAAATAATGTCCCCGGGTAGCTTGCAAAACTTTAAAGAAAGTGTAATCAAGACTCGTTTGAGCTCAATCAGGAACCCAGAAACACTGAAACAGGGACACTACTGTAGTTTAGGACTGCTGCAGCTAACAGAGGCTGAGTGGGCAGTACACCTGCAGTTCCAACAGCTGCACTCCCCCTTTTCATCTCAAAGATCCGCCCCTTACCCTTTCTGTTCCTTTTCCCTCTTACTTTAATCAGAGTATAAGTAAATCCAATTGCATATAAAACTTCTATGTAAAGGAAAAAGGGCATCTACATTGTGACATAAGGGGAATTAATACATTAAATAAAACAACAAAAAAGCAGCAAAGTATTTTTGTTAATAACAGTGTCAGTGGTTGTACTAAAAATCAGAAGAGGTGTCTTATGCTAATAGTACTTACAAGGTAAGTTGGGCCACATCACTTGCTAAATCTAATATCTACATACAGTAACAAATACATATTCTTAACGAAACAGGATTGTTCGAAAAGCAACGTGTTTATTTATTATTCATTAAACTATCTAGCAGCAGATTACAATAATCAATCAACAGATATAAGTCTATGAAAATGATTTACAACTAAAAAGTGTTTTAACTAGAAAAACTCCAACTGTTTCTGTTTTTTTTTTTACAATTGGTTATTAGGTTTATAGTCTGCCAAATAATACTGTAAAAATAAATGGATTGAATTCTTGAGTTTTTATTATCATTCTTGATATGAAAAAGTCAGACATATAAAGAATACAAAAAACTGTTTAGTGTAAACATGAGATTATGTTGGTATGTTAGATTTCAGCTGTTTTTCATAATCATCTTCTGGTGTGGCCATGGACGGGCATTTCGGACGTCCAGAAGCAGGCAAAAGGTTTTCCCAGTACTCTCGACGAGCCCTAAAACAGATTTTGGTTTATTAGTCAGTTCTAAACCAGCACTTGTGCAAAGCAGGAACACACGCATTCAAATTTCCCATTATTTTGCCATTAACTGTTTAATGCAGTTTAATTTTTAATGCGTTAGCTGTGTTTTTGCTCAGTCTTACCTGGCTCTGACCCAGGGTTTAGTGTGCATCTCTAGAGCAGCTCCCCAGAGTCCATGCTTCTCTGAAGCTGGTGGGAGGAATCCTCTCTCTGCAGCCAGCTCCTCTGCTATAGCTCTGATATGGTAGGGCTCAAATCCACAGCAGCCACCAATGTAGCGAATTCCAGCATTGTAAGCCTCTCTGGCATATTTATGGATGTCCCAGCGGGTGATTGCTCTGGTCTCCATTGCTGAGAGGGGAATTAAATATTTAAGTCTGGGCATTTAGTTGTATTGATTTTGTCACATCCATGTCATCAAACTGCACATATGTAGAGTTTACATACAGTATAAGTACTTAATTAAATATATACAAATACAGTCTGCAGACTAACAATCACACAGATTCTCCAAAAGGCTTGGTTGAATTATTTGAGCAGAAGCATTGAATTACTGACTCAGTGCAGATCCCCGCCCTTTTTGACAGTTATGTAAATATTTGTGATCTCTTTTAGATCTTAGTGCACCATCTGCAGTTTTAGTTTGCTGTTTAGTGCAAAAACAAACACATAAAATATATAACATGAATGTGCTGGAATAATAATAATGTAATTGAATATGAAACAATATTAATATTATTAATTAATATATTATCTTTTTCTTTATTCTGCACAAAAGAAATATACAATTGCTGACCGAAGGGGTACTCAGGTAGGCTGGTGTATCCACCCAAGTTGCACTCAGGTGTGTGAAAGCCCAGTGGCTGGATCATGAGATGGGCTTTGAGACCCGCTTTCTCTAATCCCTCTTTCATCAACTTCACTGTACGAATGCACGTCAGAGGGTCCAAGTGGCAGTTTACTCCAACAATATCAGCTCCTGCACATGATCAAATACACATAAAAAACATTCAGGTTATACAGCTAGAACATGATGACAGACATGCCAACCGAAAGTATCACATCAGAGGAGGTCAGTGTACCAGCTTTGACGAGCCTGACAGCACACTCTCCAGGTGGGACTCCGTGCATGTCTCCATGAGGGGAGATACACAATGTTGCACCCACTGGTTTACCGCTGGTCTTCAACACCTCCACTGCCCAGCCTGCCTCTTCCACATGATCAACAAACTGCAGGAGGATTGTAGATTTGAATTATTAAACCTTAAACTTGGGACAAAAAGACATAAAAGAACACTGAATTTATGCACATTGCCATCTTTTGTACAGTTATTCCTAAAGGGTGCTGCTCATACCTCCACTATGAAGAAATCAATGTCCTTTTTGAGGAAGTCATCCATCTGTTTCTTAAAGATGGCCTTGACCTCAGCCTCACTGTGACTCTTCACATAGCATGGAGTCTTAGACACACACCCAGCGACCAGTGCATCATCCTCATTGGCTACCTCCCTGGCCAGGTCACAGGCTGCCTCATTGATCTGGGCCCCCTGGATCAGACAAGAGCAGATTGATACCAGACTGATGTTAGGATCATTTTCATCAGGTGCAATACGGCAAACCGGTTGAGGGTGTTATTAGAATATGTCCGATAGAGTTTTTTTCACTGACGGTGATGTTGGTGACATTGCCACTGATCTCCAGCTTATCCTCGCTACAGTAAAAGGTGAATGTCTGAAGCACATTGGCTCCTGCTCTCAGAAACTCCCTGTGCAACTGACGCACTGACAGAGAAACAAAAAAACAAATATGCAGATTTAAATAATCAACTTATGCTATGATAATAAATGAGTAGGTAACATGTACCTGCTTCAGGATGTTCAACAGCAGCCTCAGGTGTCCAGTGTCCCGCCTTCACATAGCCACGTCGCTCTAGCTGCATCACATAACCTCCATCGCCTACAACCACCTCCCCAGCATTCAGCCGCTCCAAGATACCCTGTGTGCACACATACACACAAAGCTATGTAGTATGCAAAAATACTTAATACTTAAATATGTAGCATTTAGTGCTTGGATTCCACATCAGTAATATAGTTATTACTATGCTTAAACAAGTGAACATTGACAAAACACTTGCAACAATTAATAATTCATTAGTCAATTGTTAAAGAAATATTTTTTCAATAATCGATTAATCATTAAAAATATTTTTCATGCAAAAATGAAATGCTGTTTTCATCCTTTTAGATAAGGAGATGTCTTGCTTTTCTCTGTTTTATGTCGTATCAAACTGAAACTGGACCTGAGAGGACAGTATGAAAGACAGAAACTGAGTAAACCATTTCTCTGTATTTTGTTGCATAATAACGTTTATGTTTCTCACCCTTCTCTTCTTGCTCCCCATCGCTATCAATGTCTCTGAGTCTGTGCAAAGTTCAGGACCAGGCCTGCGCAGAATAAACGGGAACGGATTTTACGTCACGCTGCAACGAGATCACGACGATCTCACGAGATTGAGAGGCCACAGTGTGTGAGACATAAAGCAAACGCCGCAGTGAGCAGTGAGAGAATATTATTAAAATATGGTTAAAATAAAACAAGAGTAAAGTAAAGTAGAGCCTTGAATGCGTGCGAGCCGTGAGTGGATCATATCAATTTATTATTTATTTATTAACTGAGTTTTTTTGTCCATTTTTTTATTGTATGGAATTTAAATTTACAATCTAAGGCAATCATTCATAAATCTTATTTTAACCTTTATTAACATCTTCATATAATATAACAGTATTATCAATATATAATAATGATTCCATGAAAGGAGAACACAAACAAACAAATAAACAAAACAAACAAACACATCTAAAATACGGGTTCAATTAAATTAACTTAAAGAGGTTTTAATAAATGTATAAAGACTGTTAAACAGAAAGTCTAATGGCACTATTTTCCTATTTTCTAATAGTCTATTATGACATTTGAACAATGTAATGAACAGACACTGCATGAGAGACGTCAAACATTTACACAGTGACAACAAAGTATGTAAAAAATACATTAAGCATTAATTATTTAGAATGAATAGTTACTAGCCTTATTTTGCGTTTAAAAAATTAAATGATAATTTAACACATTTATGTTTTTCTTATATACAGAATACCACAACAAAATGTTTGGACATTGCATAATAGATCATTCATAACATCAACCTTTAGACGCTCTAAACCTCCATAAACAATGACACCACTAATCTTGAGCTCCTTATCCGTGTGTAAGTTAGCTAATAATTGTCGAAGAGAAGAAACTTTAGTGTGCAGCTGGCTCCCTTTCCAGATGAACCGACCTTCACCTCCCACTCCCGGCCTGCAGGCGCCGCTGCAGCATCGACCGGGAGCGTTCAACGTGGCGTCACTTCCTGGCGGGGGTTTCGGAGTGAAAATGGAAGTAAACAAAACCTGCGACCGATTGAACGGCGTTAATTGACAGTGATGTTGTTGTTTTCTGATGTTTTGTTTGTGACAGCCGCTGAAAGCTTTTGTAAAGTTAATGCAAAACGTTTTATTTTGAAATCATAGTAAATAACTTTTACGTTGTCAGAGAAAAAGGGCTAATTAACCCTTTAACGTCAGAGTGACGTTACTGCCGCTGGCTTTATTTTATTCTAATTTTATTTTAACCTCAATCAAACAAGGTAAGATATACCAACACACCACAGTAACGTTACATAGTAATCAAACTATTGTTTTGAAGTTTGATTTGAACTTCTCCTTTATGTTCTGCTCCATCACAGAGACATTATTTTATGTTGTATGTTTTTACATACACAGACTTTTAATTCACAAAAAGTTCTGCAGGACAGCTTTTCACAACTTAAATCTTTTCCTGATCTTTAATAGGATCATCTTTAAAAAGTATTAATTTACTCAACAGTTTGTAACGCGGTTGAACTTCTACACACTTAAAATGCTTCATACTTGGTAAAGTATTAGCTCGTAAATATAATATTTTAATATATAATAAAGGACGAAGTACACTTTCCTGATAAAAGTAAAATTTTACTGAAATATGTTTACTTATAATTCAGTATATTTATGTTGTTGTAAGCCAACTTTTACTTGAAGACTGATTGAAAATACTATTATTCTAAAAACTAAAGTAAAACCTGTTTCTTAGGTTGTTCCATTCTACACATCCACTTTGTGTGTTTACCTT